ACTTTCCGGATTTGACTCCCGAAGTGCATGACAGTACCACGGAAGTTGTGAGAAACTGTCTCTACCTCCACCATTAATTGCCCTTATAGCATTCTCTTTGCCACGCCATGCTTTATGATATTTAACGTCAATCCTATAATCTGTTTGGATATGCTCCCAGATGTCGGATGCCTTATACGCTGGCATAGAACGTATCTTATCTTTGTAGACTTCAGAAATCCAGTTCGCATCGGCTGCTGGATGATCTCTTGATTGCAATAGACTCATAGTACATGTGTGATGTAAATTGCACTTACGAATGCTGAATGATGCATCACGAGCATGGAAGGATGCATAAATACGCCAACCACAGCCTTTGTCGATGCACACCACAATAATTTTGCTCGAATCATTCTTTTGGTACCTGAAGTGTTTCTGAGTGGCAATAGAATAATTCTTCAGTAACTTTCTAAACTCCTGCGGTCCCTTGAATGTTTGACCTTCCCCGACAATGCATCTCTGCATTGCAATTAGACTAGTATTTTCGTCGGGAATAAAGATACCACCTACGCAATCTTCGTTCAATCCCAAACATTCAGCCTCACCCCTACATTACAAATACAATAATAAAAATGAAAATTATGTCAGATGTAAGTAGTTCAAATTCTATATGGTAATAGATATTTTCTTCGTAAATAGAAAAACATGGGTACCCATCTTACTCAACCTTGTATGTCCACGGTGTCTACGGTTACCTACCGTGTCATCCAGGGTATTTAAAAGAACAACTACATCTATTCACCGCAGCAGGCTACGTGATGCAGTAAATGTCACGGGCTACAGAAATTTCAACGCATCGATCATGGTACACCTACCTAAACCAGATTGCTAGAGGATATTGACAGTGGCGTGTAAAAAAGGAGTGAAAATCGTTAAATACCTTCAAGACGTTATATCCCCACTACATATCTTTACAATCTCTTCAGTGGTTCGTTCTGCACCGCGCTACTACAAAATCGCGGAGGTGGATACTTACTACCTACAAACAACATCGCAACAATATACCACGGTATTGTTGTATGCCAATATCATGAAAGAAGTATCACTAACGTAACCTATAAATAACATGTTTTTAGATGTGTTGAACATGACATTATAAGTGCTTATAGACTGGATTCTTACAAACTGCATTATAAGTGGTTATAGACTGCATTCTTTCATAAGGAACAATTGTGACTGCATTCTATAACAAAGTTGAATCAAGACTACTTAATTACAAATGATGAGTAACGTACCTACGTCCAACCGTGTTTCGGAGAGGCACGCTCTGGTGCTCGCTTCTACACCGTGCAATCATATCCACAAACATTACCTTTAACAAGATATGCATTCTCCACATATTGGCGACATCATCGTCACACAATAACGTCACGTAGCTTTTCTGAATAGGTGCAATATATTGGAGTTTTACCGCCTCAATACTCACTTTACTCCATCTTTTTGATATATTCCGGTACAGATCCTCCAGCGTGGTGCCCTCTTCTAAACCAATTACATTATGATCACCTTCGTAGGAACATATAATTAATAATTTCAGACTACTTTGCTCCATGTCCATCGGAACCTAACGATCCAACCAATGGATGTATGAACTATATTAGGTCGTATGAGCGATTAGATAATCTTACACAGAATACACTAAAATCATATGTTCTTACGGAATTCTAGTAATGTCTTGATCCTCAAATAGCAACAAATTACCCATTTCACAAAATAAATATTACCCTTAAACTCTAAATAGCAACAGAATTTATTATCAAAATCACCCAAAATAATACCCAAACATTTTCTTCCAAATAATAATTTTCCAACTAAGATATCGATACAAAAACACACCTGGTACATCTAATTTCACCGGAGAACAAGAAAGACAGGCCAGAGAACCGATGACAGCCTTCGGTAGTTCTTCGACCAAATCAACCGACCGCCAACGACAGGGAACCGGAATAGGATTCGGAGAGTGCCCTAGGAAATTCTCCAATCGAACCAGACAAGAAGCGGCGATGTAAAATCGGACAAACAATTAAGAACCTTACCTGTGCGGGATGTGGCTTTCGAGCTCACGGAAGAGGACAACGGATTGAGAAGAATTTTTTGCGCGAAGAGAAACATAATTAAGAAAAAAAACGAGTAAGGAGGAAGAAGAAGGAAGAAGGAAAAAGGGGGGAGTGCAGACAAATTTTTTATCATTAGGAACTGAATCCCAATTGATAAATGGACAGAGGGATTTTTGGCTAATTATCCGTAATTTTATTTTGAAAAATGTTGTTTGATAATTTTTTTTTTAAGTTTGGATTTTGATTTTTAATTTAAATAATAGTTTAGATTTCATAACTAATAAGTTAAAATAATATATTTATATAAAAAAATCATCAAAACTAAATAGTATTCTTTCATTCCGGGTAAGATGACCCTTTTAATTAGGGATACAGTATTTTATGTAGTATAATTTAATAGGTTAATTATAGTAGTTATAATATTATTTTATTATTTTTTATATAAATAGTATTACTATTATTTTTTAAATAAAAATTAATATATATGATTAAAAGAATTTTATAATATGTATTTAAATATTTTAAACATTATATTTCAGTAAAATATACTTCCTACGCCTCAATCGAAAGGGATCCTTTGGAATTTTGTAGTAGATTAAAAAATAATAGTTAAATTCATAGTGTAATCGCAATATTCAAATTCATTTAATGAAATATCATGATTTCTCCATTGTATTCTAACCCCTGGATGGCATATACTTGAGATAAATACTCACGAAATACCTTATAATAGAACTAGGAGATACATATAAATCACTTAACCAGACCTAATTAGATGAATTCGAAAGAAAATCATGCTGCTAGGTGGACCAAAAACTCTCACGAAAGTGGCTCTTTGAACGCAATTTGACTTTAAAATATAGTAAAAGGTAGGTAGCGAATTAACCATTTAATTCATCACTCACGAGTATCGATGAAAATAGCTCATAGGGTAGTGAAGTATGAATCTAAGAATAGATCATCAACACAATAATCAATTATTGGTTTAGCTTTCCAGAATACTTATAACTATAAAGTTCTAGAATCGCGAGGTATATTAACAAGTATTTATGGTGATCACATTTACACAACATTCTAATGTACAAAGTATATACATATATCGCCTCTATTACTATCTATTTAGCGGGCATCTATTTCTCTTTTCGCATCCCTAATAAATTATCAACTAATTAAACATTAAAACAAATTCACTCATTTTTCTCAACCTTTACACCTTTATTTCCCCACCTTTTTTCACATTGCGCTTCACCCATATCCCACCCTTTATTTCGCATTTAATTTTGTACTTGCATTCAAATTCAGTAACATAAAATTACATTCAACACATCTTTAATCCAGTTCTAAGTCATAGACTCTCATTCATTCTTGAATCTTCCCTTGCACTTACAACTTAAGTTCGACCTAGCACTCACTAGTTAACATGAAAAAAATATATTATTTGATGAAAAGCTTTTGGGCTATAACGTAATACTTTAGCACACATGGAGTACATTTTTCATATTATATTCTTTACCAAAAGCCAATTTTCAAACATCAATTTTTTGGCGTTGTTGCTGGATAATTTGTTCTAAGGATGTATTTAAGTATGATGGCGAGTTTTATAATAATAAATGTAGTTTAGAATTCATATTCTAACTCCAAATACTAATTACACTCTCTTTAATTGGACAGGGCCCATAAAAAGGTACTTCACAACTTACTGCTCGTGCTAAAAGGAATTTAAAGAAAGAATCTCAAGAAAACAAGTCATGGTAGATAATATTAATGCAGATATCTCTCAAATACTTCATGTCCCTCAATTAGAAGTTGTGCCTGAACCACCTGCTATTACTGATATTTTGATTCAAACACTGCAAACCATACAATAAGGGATGAATAAATTACGAGATCATTTTCACAGAGTAGAGCAAGTGCAAGTCCTACAGAATTAAGCATTTCAGCAAGGGTTAGCCCATCATGTCAATGGCAATGTGAATGTGCAACCATCGCAGAATAGAGCTAGAAATGGACAAGCTCCGTAAGATAATGTGACAATGGATGCGCGCTATAAGGCCTTACTAGATGCAACCCTGGTCTTCAATGATGTGCCTCACATTCAAAGAAATTTCAAAGTTAAACTAGCTATGGTCTTGTTGGTAAGTCAAGATTAGTGGCTTGAGGAATGAGAGCCCTTACGATCATCTCCAGAGGTTTTCCAGAGTCTGCTCAACATTCAAAATTAGTGGAATATCGGATAATGAAGCTAAGCTTATTCTATTCCCATTCTCACTCCATGGCGAAGCTCGCAAATGGATCAACTTTCTTCCAACACCACCCACCTTTGCAGAGAAAATTCAATAATTTTTGTCCAGCCTCCATTCTGCAAGTAAGACCACCCAGCAGAGGCTATAAATTTCTCAATTCAAACAAGGAGCATATGAGACCTTGCCGCAAGCCTTGTATCATTTCAAATCTATACTTCACAACTGCCCGCACCAATAATTTCCAGATCATCTTCAGATTAAAACTTTTTATACTGGGGTGGATATTCATATAAGAGTCGCGTTGGACTCAACTGTTGGCCACTCTTTAATGAATTGAGGTGCAATGGATGCATATAAAATTATTGAAAAAAATGTCTTCTAGCATAAGCAAATGGACATAAGCAAGTCTTTCAACAAGGATATGATTATATGAGGTACCTGATACGATTTTTAATGAAGCCAGATTTGATAATCTTAGCATGCATGTCAAAAAGCTAACAAAATGATTAAGAAAAGTCAGTTCAACTTTAGAAAGATCAAGTGATGAAAGTGACGAATCCAAAACAAGCAGAAGATGAAAAAGGCGAGTCACAAGCATTAGTTGAATGCGAATAGAAAGTAGAAACTATATGCTATGCGGGGGGTGAAAAATCAACAATCTTCTTTTTCAATAAAGAAAGCCTCAACAACAAATTTTCTAATGACAACATCACCCGTAATAGCATCAACCGCAACATCACTATCAAGGGCAGCCATTGCAAGCTCAAGGAGGATCTTATCTATTTCAACCTCATTATCAACCGCATCCACAAAACCATTCTCAACCTTCATATTACAATCTTCCTCAGCCCATCAATACCACTCGCAGCAGCCCTTTACCCTGCAAACTCCATCTTTAGCTGATCTGGAAGAGATGATAAAGAAATAATGAGGACAACATGTAGTTTCAACAAAACACAGCTGGCACAATAAAGTTACTGAAGAAGCAATTGGGTTAGATCACCAAACCATTAAAAGTCAAAACACCAGGCCATCAACCCGGTAATGTGGACAAAAATCCAAAATAAACAAAGGCAATTGAGACCAGAAGTGGCAAACAACTCCCTAGTCCATATTAAGATAATGATTCTTCCTTCACTCATATTACCAAAATGTATTCTCCAATTGCAGGGGCGATTGCAACCACACAAAGGAGAAACAATCAAAGAACGGAAAACATGGAGTTGGAAATTCGCAAGCATCTTCTAAGATAATTTTGCGAATTGCGTACCCCAGCCACTCAAGCGAAAGGAAACATATAAGCAATTCAATAATTTTTCTAAAATATTTCAGCAATTACACATCACTATTCCTTTTTTCGATGCATTGTTACAGATGCCAGCATACTCTAAATTTCTAAAGGACATTCTAGCAAAAAGGCGTACATTTCTTGAGGATGAATTGCAAATTTTATTGACAAAGACATGTAGGGCAATTTTTAAAGAAAAAATTCCGATAAATTGGAAGATCCCGGAAGTTTTATAATTGCATGTACATTAGGAAAGCTAGAACCTGAAAAAGGCATTATGTGAAAAAAAATTATTGATGTTTTAGTACATGTGAATGAGTTTATTTTTCCAACAAACATTATCGTTATGGAGATAAGTGAGGATAGGATACTCCGCTCATATTAAGGAGACTTTTTCTTGCCACTGTACAAGCAAAAATCAATGTCGCAAAAGGCAAACTGACATTGCACCTTGGCGAGGACAAAGTCACATTTGTAATGAAAGAAGTTATGTTACATACTCAGGATAACAATAATGGCTTTGATCTTATAGGAATTAAATTGCATAATTGTCATTGACTATGTTTTAATAAATAGTTCATTTCAGGAACTTGAATGTGATCAACCTCAATCAATGAAAATAACCGAGGTTTCTGAAAAAGATGATTCAAATCCTTACAAGAAAATCCATGAAATATCCAAGGTTGCGAATGAAAAACTAAAATTCTAATTCAAAAATTTCCATGATCATCTTAAGTATCCGCTTTTGGGAGAAGAAAGTAAATATCCAATAGTGATCTCCAGGTCTCTATGTGATGATCAGAAAGAACAATTGTTCATGGTTATAAGAAAATATATAGAACTCATCCAGTGGTCAACCAACGGCATCAAAGGAATAAGCCCCACGGTTTGCATGCACATATCTACTTAGAGGAGAATATGAAACCATGTCGCCAACCAAAGCGATGTCTTAACAAAAATACGCAAGAGGCCAAGAAAGAGGTAACAAAATTTTTTCATGTAGAAATTATTATGGTGATACATAATAAAGAATGGGTGAGCCTCACTCAAGTAGTTCAAAAAAAAAAAAAAAGAATTCGTAGAAGAAAAAAATGACAAAGGAGAAGTGTTTACATCAAAACTAGTAACTGGTTGGCGAGTATGTATAGATTAAAGGAACCTTAATGCATTTACATGCAAGGATCATTTCTCATTACGTTTTTGGATCAATGTTTACAAACGCTTAGTGGTCATGAATTCTACTACTTCTTAAAGGATTATTTTGGATACCACCAAATCCCATTCAATCATCATAATGTTAAGAAAACGACTTTCACATGCCCCTATGAAAACTTTGCGTATCGAAGAATGACATTTGAGTTATGTAATGCATATACGATTTTTCAAATGTGTATTATCACATCTTCAGTTATTTATTAGATCTTATGTTGAAGTTTTCCTAGATGGTTTTTATCTATATGGAAAAACATTTTTCACATGTCTCACGAATTTAGAACAGATGTTGATTTGATGTTAAGTCAAACTTGGTCTTGAATTAAGAGAAATGTCATTTTATGGTCAAATAAGGATATCTTTTGGGCCATAAAGTCTCCATAGTAGGGATAGAAGTGGATAAAGCTAAAGTAAGTGTGATTATGAAGTTGTGAAATAGCTACAAGAAGTTTTCTGGGACATGTTGGATTTTATCGAAGATTTTTTAAGGATTTCAGACAATTTTGTAGCCTATTATTGCTTTAGTATGCAAGGATGCTCCTTTCATATGGTCTGACAAGTGTGAGGAGGTGTTACAATGCCTTAAGGAAAGACTAATATCCTCTCCAAATGTACAAGCTTTTGATTGGAGTCAACCTTTTAAACTAATGTGCGGCGCGAGTGATGGAGCAATAGGAGTTGTTCTAGGTCAGAAGCTAGAGCAAAATCACCATGGTATTCACTATGTGAATAAAACTTTAGATAGTGCGCATCGCAATTACACTACAAGAGAGAAAGAACCTTTGGCAATTGTCTTCGCGTTTGAAAATTTCAGACCCTACTTGGTTGGATCTAAGAAAATTGTTTACACTAACCATGCGGCACTAAGATATCTGATGGATAAAAAAGATTCTAAAATATACCTAATCTGATGTATTATTATTGCAAGTTTATATTGAAATCAAAGATATAAAAAAAAGTCATAATCTAGTAGGCTACCGTTAGATTCGCCACCATCAGGTATAAATGAATGCTTTCCTAATAAGATTTTGTATATTTTTCAAGGTAACACGCCCTGGTTGACGGAGTATGCCAACTTTCATGCTAGTGGTATTATCAATTCTATTTGAATTACAAAGAGAGAAAGTGATGTTTTAGCTTTGTCAATCACTATTTATGAGAGAAATCATATTTATTCACTTTGGCGAAGATGGAATCATTAGACGATGCGTATCTGAATTTGTGATATCATGTATTCTTCATGAGTGCTACGGTTCACTCGTTGGTTGACATTTTGCAGGCCAATAAACCAGTTCTAAAGTACTTCAATCGGGATTCTATTGGCTAACGATACACTTGGATGCTCAGACCTTTGTCAAGCAATGCGATACGTGCAAGAGATTTGGTATTATCACAAAGCATGATGAAATTCCACAAAAGGGAATTCTCTAAGTAGATTTATTCAATATATGGGGAATTGATTTTATGTGACCTTTTCCCAAGTCCCATAGGAATGTTTACATCTTGGTCACGGTTGATTACATCAGTAAACAGGTCGAGGTATTTGCTCTTCCTACCAATGATGCAATTCAAGTAACTAAATTTATACAAAAATATATTTTCTAACGATTTGGTGTTCTCAAGTCTTTTATTAGCGATGAAGGCACATATTTTGCCAACAAGCGATGTACTATACTTCTCTCCAAGTACAACATCTGTCACAGCCTCGCTACTCCCTATCATCCACAATCCAGTGGAGAGGTCTCTGAAAGGCTTGGTGTCTGAAGCTAAAACATATTTTGCAGACAACTGTTAGTAAAAATAGAAAGGACTAGTCCTTGAAACTAGATAGAATGTTGCATATAGATTGGTATATAGAAAGTTCTGCCACATACCTCTGGAGATAGAGCATCGTGCATATGAGGCAATTCAGTTCTTGAACTTTGCTATTTTGTCTGAGCAATAGAAGAGAAAGAAGTTTTTGATAGAGTAGATGGGTTCCATTTAATGCTAAAACTTATAAAACGTAAGCTAAATTCTACCATGATAATATGATTTGCCACAGGCACTTTTTTAAAAGGGAGACAAAGTTTTGTTGTAAAATTCCAGCCAACATCTATTCCTTGGAAAGCTTAAATCTCGATGAACTAGCCCTTATACTATAAAGGAAGTCCTAGCCAATGGTGCAGTGCGAATCGAAAATCCAAATTATATGGATGGCCATGGTTTTTTCTTGGTAAATGGAATATGTTTGAAAAATGTTATTTAAGGATTTTCTATGATTTGTGATTCTCAAATGTTAACACCAGCTAATGCGAAAGCCAATGTTATATAGTTTTTTTTTAAAAAAAAATGTTATATAGTTTTTTTTTTAAAAAAAAAAAGACATCAGTTAATGCGAGCCCAACTGTTGCTTGTTCGCGGACAAACAATGATTTACTATGAAAAAGGAAGCTGACCACTGAACAAAACGCATTTGTATCCTTCCCAGTATCCGTTGAATTTTAATATTTTCATTTACTACATTGATTGAGTAAATTGCATCATAGTTACACTTAATCACATTCTAAGATAGATTAAAATCTTTGTAGCATAGATTCAGAAGAGCTAAAACCAGCGCGATTCGTGAGACCATCCTCGCAATCGCATTCTACTAGGGCAAACTTTTTGGAAACTATAGAAAATTATATTTAGACCCCTTCAAATCTATAAAATTTCAAAATTTCCACCTAGAATGTTAAAACCCCAAAACTCCTTCAGTTCTCCTTAACTATTGATAACAAAACCCTTCAACTTCTCTCAGAAAACTTCTTTCGTACATCATCTCACGAAATTCTTAATATTTCAAAATCGAGTGATTTCACCGTGTCCAACCAAAAATTTGAAGTTGTTTCTAAAAATCAAGGTGCTCACACTCGATTTAATGGATCATATTTGCATTAGACTGCCAGCATTTGATCCTATGAGCTTTTGCATTAATCGTAGCAAATATCTTCAAACTCTGTGTTTCGAACGTGTGTTAATTGTTTACTATTGTCTTCAACAAGTTAAACTAGTTAGAGTTTATATATTTTGTTTCATGGAACTTCGTTCGATTTTGAAGGGATTTTGATTCCCATATTTATAAATCTTCAAAGTTCCTATATGATCACTTTTAGAACTATCCTCACTCTAAGGAGGCCGTATTTAACTTGTTTTTTGCACTAAGAATAGGCGAGCGTTGGTGTACTAAGAAATTCAGAACAAAAAACCTTGACCTAACCCCTCTTTCACAACCCTATTACTTTAGTGCCACTCTTTTAGGATCAATTCATAACATTGAGATATTTTGTTGAGATTATTTTCCAAGACTTCATACACCAAAGTTTTTGATAATAGAAATAAAATCCAAAGACAACCAGGCTACTCGCAAGACTTACTAGTTGTGGCATTCACAGACGTAGGACCTGACATCCAAGACCTTAGGCAAGCGGTTGCCATCTTTGAAGAGGATAAAAGAATGAAGTATCAGAAGAAGTTTACGAAGTTTGATTCAATCTTTGAGATAAAGGTTGCAAGGCTAACAAACCTCACGGGGAGGAAGAGGTTCAATCACGTATCTAGCACTGTGTTAGTTGAATCCCTGTCACCTGATGCATACTATAGGCGAAAGGACTATTTGCTTGCAACTCAGAATTGGTCAGTGCTAGAAAGGCTATCTCGGCCTTTTCCTCTATAGTTGACCAAGATGTTTGGAGACAAGTCCCATTGCACAATCGGAAACGTCGAGCTTTGAATTGCAGAAAACTTAATTAGCGAGAATAATGAATTAGGAATTTAAGCCATTAAATTGATGGGCATACCTTTTTGGAGGTGAAGGTTTTGGTGGGACTGGTTTGTCGACCATTTATCATAGAATAAATGACAAAAAAACTCTGGCTGTGACTACCATGGCTAGTTGTGGTAGCGATTCCAATAATTATAAACGATTGTTGTTTTTATTGTTTGGACTAAATTATATCTTTTGGATTCATTTTTTTTTTAATTTTCATGGTGACTTTGTTAGGTTTTTGTGTTTTTCGGTTTAAAATTTTCTTAAAGAAAAAGAAATAATGTTGGAGAACTTTGTTAATTTTGGATTCTTGTGTGTGTGCATATACATATACATATATATGTATATAGCAATTACAGGTTTGTTTGTGAAATGGTGTGTGTATATCAATCTTTTGCTTTTTCAATTTGATCCAATATGACAAAATTGCATTAGTGTATTTGCAATTTGGTTCAAATTGGGTCAAATTGTAAATAAGAATTTTTATTTTTTTAATAAAAAAATATTACTTTTTTCATTTCCTAACAAAGTATTTATTTAGTTTTTACGTCATTGTACTTAATATTAAAGTTATTCTTATATTTTTATAATATTTTGTACAAATATTATTGCATTTGTAGTATACAACACTAATAAAAGTATTTTTATTTTTTTCTTAATTTGTACTCCGTATGAATATACTATTAATATTTAAAGTTTGACACGTAAAAAATAAATGAATATTTAATTAGGGGACGAAAGTAATATTATTTTTAAAAAATTTTCATGTCATCATAGGAAAGTACGCCACTAGGCATCCACATCAACTTTGTGTGTAGCCACATTATCGCACGTGCTCCTCACGTACAATTTTATGGCGTCGGATGATAGAAACAACAATATTTTCATACTTATTGTCCTAAAATCAAGAATTAAAAAACAATATTAAAAATAATAATTGAACCCACTTAGGGGATACAAATTACAATTTTTCTGATGATTTATGGTATAAACGGTAGTAAAAGCAATTTTCTCCAAAACTTATCAAGACTAGAGGCAGACAAAAGAGACACACTGATAGTATCTAAAATATGATGATGTTTACGCTCAGCTTGACCATTTTTTTTAAAAGTGTATGAACAAGAACGTTGAATCATTGTACCTTGAGCAAAAAGAAAATTTAACAAAGTAGAATTCTTATACTCAAATCTATTATCAGTATGAATGGTCTGTATGAAATAGGAGAATTAAGTTTGAACATTTGAGAATATTGAATTTATACTTGAGGTGATTCCGAATGTCATTTCAAAAAATATATCCATGTAAACCGTGAGTAATCATCTAGAAATATGATATAACAATGAGAAGAACTCCAAATATCATAATGAACCACGCTTTTGTTTTCACTCACACGTACACCTTGGGAGTATTCGCAGGAGGTCACCCATCCTAAAATTACCCTAGAGCAACCAAGCTCAGCTCTAAATTTCTCTCGAGTGGGCTCACGAAAATAAATGAGTACATTGTTGACATAAGTAGTCTATTCAATCCATTTAATTTCTATTTTTAATCTCGGGGATATCATATCCTTCTTGACTCATCTCTATTCAACTCCAAAGATATAACAGTAAGGGATATTGTTTTCCTAAAGGACGGTGGTGTAAGCAATCAAATGATTCAAAACTAGTAAAATCCAAGTGACTCTTGCTAACTAGAAACTGAATTTTAGAAAAAAGATGCATGACCAAGCGAATGTGCCACTAGAAACTGAAAGAGGTAATAGTAATAGGAGCGAGAGTACTGGAAGGAGAGAGATAATAACGAGGAGTTTACAAAGACTGAAACTCAAATAAGAGACCTACCTTCCAATCTATCTCAAGAATTTGACCCGTATGTTGATCATGAATCTGTACACCAAAAAAAGAAAATAAAAGTAATTCGTGACCAATTAGTTGACCAAATGGTACAATATTTAGAGTCAATTAAGGAATACAGTAAGTATTGAAAACATACGTAGATGGTATTGATACATATCTTGAATAAGTGAGATTCATATGGCTCTCATAAGCGGTATGTATAGGCGCTAAGAAGGACATGAGAAATACGAAAGTCAATAGATCAAGTGTATGTGTCATATAATTAAAGCTACCTGTATCGAAATACTACTGACTACTTAAAGTGGCCATGAAAAGAGAGAAAATTCGAAGCCATAACTTAATGTTAGAGAATCACGATGTTCTGAAGTGTTATAACTACATATTGATTCTAGTGATAAGGCGCCCGGGTATTTTCAGCATTCCAAGAGACCACATAACTAGATCGATGTGGTCGAATACGATAATTAGGAAGAACATGGCCTCTACGATATCTACGACAATATTCTACCGCCATAATTAATGTGCAGATCAATCGAACAGAACAATATACATCAGCAAGACAATCTCTATTTTTTCCACAATTCACATAATCAACACTACCAAAAAAAATCTTTAATTAGCTATAATATTTTTTATTACGAAATATTTTTTTGTTAAAATGTGTCATTCAACAACAAAAATAAATTTATTCGTTAAAAATAAATTATATACTATAAAATTAATTTCATCGATAAAATTCTTTTGCTATAAAATCTTATTTTTTGTAGCAAAAGAATTTTAGCTACAAACTTATTTTTCATAACTAAAATCATTTGGCTAAAAAAATCATGCATATTTTGTTGCTAAATTTTTTTTGTTATAAACTTTATTTTTATAGCAAAAATATTTTATCTACGAGATCATATTTCCGTACCTATATTTTTTTATTTTTTTTAACTCTCATTGCAAAAAAACTTAACTTTCATTATGAAAGTAAATTTGTTGCCAAAAATCTTTACCAACGCAGTATAGGTGACTTTTTCTCCACGAATTCATTACTTTTTGCTATGATTTTTTTTTTAACTAAATTTTAAAATTTTTTTTGTAGTGCAAACTCCCTAAAAAATAATAATAATAATAAAAATTGAACAGAACAAGATTAGAAATCCCCAAAACAAAGCAAATTAACCTCAAATAACATAATAAAATCTAAAACTCATGTGAACTAGAACTAACAAACCGATCACATAAGTTTGCAATGAAAATTTCCAAGATAGAGCCACAAAAACCAAATGACTAGAGCGTCGTCACGTGCCTCCTACACGAATTTGTGTCGGAACGCCTTTCCGGCGCATCCGTTTGGCAACGAACTTTCTGGTGGTGATAATGGGTTGGTCGATCAATTATCAACTGTTAATGGCAAAATTGCATTAGTAAATTATTATTTTGGGAAAAAAATATGCTCTAATATCATGTAAAGATTTGTATAAATTATGTTTGTTATTAATAATAAAGTAGAAGTTTATATATAAATAGGCGTGATTATGATTCGAGAGAATCAATATAGACTAATGAATATTAACAAAATAATAATAAAATTTAGGGAGTGTATTCATTTTAGATTTCATTAGATTTTTTTAAAAAAAAAAAAATATTTATTTATATGAATTTAGAAAATCCACCAATGGCGTGTTTGACAATTAGCTGATTCAATTAGCTGTTAGCTGTTAGTTGATTCAATGCTGATTCAATTAGTTGTTTGTATTAAAATGTTTGGTAAAACAACTGTTTGATATTAGCTGTTTATACATAAAAAGGACAATTTAGGACATTTCTATTTTATTTTTGTTTCTAATATATTCAATTATGTTCTTTTGAGTTTAGAATGTTTGAAGTTTTTTGTTATTAGTTATTGAAAATTGTAAAAGTGTTATAAAAGTATTTATTTTTATTGTAGTTAGATTGTAAAAATAATATATTTTTATTGAAATACATAAATAGTTTTTTCTATTGAAAATGATGTAAAATATAAAATAATAAATTTTTCGTGTATATAGTTATTATATTAGTTATCGATTAGTTCATTATATTTATAATTTTCAATAAATTTAATTTATTTTTAGTATAAAATTTATATAATGTAATTTTAATATGAAAACAAATTATTAATATTTATATTTTTTATTTTATATTGATTTTAATAAATTTATATATTTTACAATTAAAATAATTTTTATATAAAAAATAATTATTTTAAATTTATAAAAGTAAAACAATAATATAATAAAATATTCTAATATAATTACTAAATAATCAAAATATATGTATTTGTGTAAAATGTATAATAAATTTTTAAGGGCATATAAGGAATAAAAAAAAATTTACAGAAAAAGTTATTTCAAAACGGTAGGTAAGTTAGCTCTTCAGAAATTAGTTTTTTTGGTCCAAAAAGCTATTCCAAAAAGCTAATTTACCAAACAACTAAATTAGTTTTTGACCGGTCAAATAGTTAAAAGCTGTTCAATCAGCTAAAAGCTTTTCAAAAAGCTATTTGCCAAACGCCCTCTAAGTCCACACAGAATTTGATAGATTTTATTAATTAATTTTAATGAATTTTTATAGATTTGATTGAATTATTAACAAATTTATATGAATTTTATAAAATAATTTATTTTATTAATTTATATAAATAATTATATAAACTTGTATCAAACCCAAGCGTTATAAATATAATATATTTATAATTAAAATTATTATATATTATTATACTAGTCATGACCCATGTTATACACGAATATTAGATTATACTTATTTTATTATCCAAATTTTATTTTTTTTATTTGACTCTTAAAAATATTTCTATTTTCTTATCTAGTAAAAATTACACATTCTTATTAAAATATATTTTTTTACTCACATAAAAGATAACTATTTTATTATTTTAAATTATTTAAATATAGAAATTTTTTCAGTCAAATTACAAAAACCTACACGATTGTTAATTAATGTTATATATATATATATATGTAACAATATATAAACACATTCATATAGACAAAAATCAATAATTTCAAAGTTATACATAATTACTTGTATTATTTATATATTTTC